CAATCACAGCTGGTGCAGGAGGCATTTGGGGACAGAAACCCACCTTTCGGTTAGCTACATCAGCTCTGCCATCTCGTGGACCGTTTCCCCAGAGTGCCCACAGCTCGCTCTGCAGCCTGCCACTGGTGTCACAATAGACTTGTCCAGCTTACTGTTGTCTCCAGAGGACCATCGTTCCACCTAGTTTGGCACAATCAACCCCACCTGGCAGCACTCCTTGAAGAGGCTCAGTACCGCAATAGAATGGGCTGGGAAGTGCTTGGCTTCGGCTGCGTTGGCAGTGCTGGTTTGGGAAATGATGCCCAGTGCCTGCCTCACCCCACTGCAACCTGCTGCCAGCACCGTTAGCGTAGACGCATGAACAAGTACCAAATGCCTTCAGAATTTGAAAGAAACAGGTCATCTTGCTGCTGTGTGGCTCTAGTTACCCAAATACTTGGTTGAGATTGAATAGAAGCATTAAATATCACCTGATGAAGTAAAAACCCCTCTAATTAGGGTTAAAAATGTGTTGAATTATAGTTTATTTTCCGTTAAAATATGTAGATCATTTGTCTTTCCAAATAAGATTTAGTAAGTCATGTTACATTTATGCTTTAAAACCTTCATACCAACTATACCTTGACTTTTCAATGCTTTTCTGTAGCCTTACAAAGTAGGAAGTTGTGCTTTTCCTTCTCTTTCATGTTTATACTCGCAAGCCCTTTGCTGGGCTGTCATGTTTACATTTTCTTCCCCATCACTCTGCAGCCACCCAGAGCTCCCTAGCTGGGGTCAGAGAAAGCAGCAGATTATTTTTTTTCTTTCCAGCATGATTGTCTTTAGTTCATATGATGCAACGTTGTCCTCAGGATGGAACGGTCAGTTTGACCTCTTTACAAACACCGAGCAAGTATGTGAGGGAACGGTTTACAAGCCACAAGAGGATTCCTGGGGACTCTCAGCAGAGCAGAATAATTTTCCTTGGCTGGCCATGGTGAGGACTAGACTGCACTGCTGACTGTAGTGGCGTATGAAGAACAAACGGCCTTGTAAGCAGGAGAGGTCACCATAGACTGGGCTCGCTCACTGGTTTTCCACATCGTTTTATTTCATTTCCTTTTATGGGAACTTGAAAGGTATTTATTTAGGTCATTGCTTCCTCTGTAGCCTTCATGACACACCTCAACTTCACATCTGCAACCTTCAGACTTAAGTAAGGCGCATGTGCCGGGGCTGGGCTGTAAGCGGGGTCTCCTCCTGGTTTCACAGAAGTTGCAGTATCCCACAAGGGCAGGACTTGGAAAGATTGTCATATTTTTCATTTTGATTTTGAGAGAAGGAAAGGCCATTTCTTTGGCTTCCCATAGGTTAATGGATGGTTAATGGGAAAATATTTGCAAGGCATGTATGTATTTGAGTTTAGAGTCCTCATTTAATATTGTTAGGGATACTAACAATTGCTGTACATCCATAGCATTAAAATTCCCAAAGGAATTTTGTATCCTTGAAATATTTTTAATCATGTGCCGACTTGTTCTTGTGACATGTATGAACTCGCTATGGCAAATAAAACAGTTTGTTTGTTACTAACTTAAAGAAAATATGTTAATAACATAGCTTTGATATATTTCTGATAGATCAGTAGTCTGGCTTGTTGGTGGATTAATAGATTAGGGCACATTGTGATTTTTATATGAAAGACAATTTACAGAAGAAGGAAGTAGATATTACCAATTTACCATTTCAGCCAAAATTGTAACAACAGAAAAATATCGCACTATTGTAAAGAAAGATGGTTTCTGTTGTTACTTGAGGCCCCAGGGCTGGTTCCCAGGCATCCCTCTGCCCTGCTGGAGACAGAAGCCCAGTGGGACCTGATCAGTGTGGATTGTAGCCAGGAGCTGAGGAATAAAATAACATTCCTCTTTCTTTACTGGGAGGTGTGTGATCAAAGTAGCTCTGTTTCTTTCTTTCTGTATCTTTCTCGGCTGTGTTTGAATAATTTTTTTTCCAAGGCTTCTCCAGTGATTTAAATGAGCAAGGCTGTCATCTGTCACCTTGCAACTTTTTTTCTCACATAAAAACCTTTCTGCCCTGAAAGATCTGTGTCCTGCTGGGAGAACGTGCTCTTACTGGGAAATGTAGCATTAATGTTGCTTGGGCTAACAGGGTAACAGTGCCTAGAATAATATAATTTTACCTTAGCTTTTCATGCTCAGAAAGAACAGAAATGCCTGTAAGTCCCGCCAGCAACCGACGAGCACCTTCCTTCAGCTGTGTTTGAGTTTTGTACTGACGAGCACATCTCAGGCCAAGCTTTCTTTCACCCCACCTCTCGGTTAAAAACTGTGATTTCACATCTCATGGAGCTGCATAATTATCATCAAGAAAAATCTCCTCTGAGGGGATGGATGGTGGCTAGTGATTTATTTCACAAATTATGAATACATTAAAATAGGAAAGGCGAGCAGGTGTCGCAAATGCATCAGGACCCTCCAGCAGCGGTATTGCAGATCACAGCGGTGGTGGTAAACGGAGACTGGAAAGGGGCAGTGCTTTTACCACAGAGTAAACCTGGTGCTTCTGATGACCGGAATGTGAAATGTGTGCAATTGTGTGGAGAAAAATTGTAGGTTCCTATGAAGGCATCCCTGACCTTTATCCTAAACCTTGAGTGCATCAACGAGGAGGGGGGAAGATTTTTCTGTTTCGTGCTTTTGCATTCCTTCCACAAATCTAATTTGATGGGACTTGCCACTCGATAGTTTAGATTTGGTTGTTTCGGTGATCCTATAGCACTTTACCCTAAAAAGGAATGCTGAAAATCTCTTTTTGACTAAATACAAGCAATTCACTTGTTAAAGCTGCAGTATTTTCCACATGAATTTACATTGCTTTTATTGTATGGATGTTTATCCAGCCATATTAATAAAATACTGCTTTCAGAAGGACAAGAATCTGTTACGCTACTGGATCGGGGTATTGATACTTACTTATCTCAGAGAATATTTTCTGACTCACTGTATTCATTGTTCTTGCAAAGAAGCAGTAAGTTTCTGTGTTGTGAGTTAATGTCCCTTCACCTTTGTATAGGAGTGAGAAAGGAGGAGCAGCTCTTGGTTGGGTGATACTAATGGGTTTTAAATCTTGCATAATAATACAAACACATAATCTTTTTCTGTCTTCTAATTAATCCATTAATCAAGTGGAAGCTGGCTTGGATATAATTTCAAGTACTGTCAGTACAGTATTTCAAATTTTTTTAAATCCAAGCAACGTATGAATTCATTGCAGATCTCTGCAGGTTCTTACTCAAACTGAAAATATGTATACCTGAAAACATCTCTGGTTTTGTCTATAGTAAGAGCACAAGAAACCTCTGAAGTACTGCAATTTTTAATTCATGTTAAAAAAAACAGCTATTGGTGTGATAGGAGGGACACACGCTGCCTGTGCCACCTTACTGTGCCACCAGTAGATTTCTTAGTAATATTCATAGCATTGAGAATAGGGGGCTGGTTGGCTTCAGCTCAGAGCCTTGATGTCAAAATTCAGGTCTTGACCATAAATCTTTTGCTACATATTTAAGGTAAGCCCTTCAGAGTATGCTTGAATATACTGGGGGGAGCAGGGAAGATGAGGTTTTTGCATCCCAATTGGCAATTTTTATGTTGTTTCCTTTGATAGTTCCTCACCATGTCATTTACTTTGCAGCCCAGGATCTTCTGCTGTGCTTATAAAATTGGATTTACATAAATGTAAGACAGAGGAGAAAACAGCAATGCACTTTAAAAAGCTTGCACACCCAAATGTGCCATTAATGAAGTTAGGCATGAGGGCTGAAGTTCTGGGAAGAGCTTTTCTGTGCTGAGGTCTCAGAAGCGAATGCCACGGCCAGAGGGGCCTGTGCCTCTACGCTGCCCCAGGAGAGCTGGGGATGCTCTCCATGTCTCCCACGCTGCTGAGCACTTCTGTCCTGCAGAGGATGTGTTGCCCACTGAAGTGTTCTCTATCGCGTTTTATTTACTTGCTGAAGTATGAATTTGATTAGTCACTGGTTTGATATTGATGTGTATCAGGCCAATTGCATTATAAAAGCATGTGTCTTTAAGTAAGAATGACGACTGGTTTTGCAAAGATGAGATTGTGTCATCTTTGCTTATGTTGTCTTGCACTTCGTTTTTTTGCCCTGTATGTCTCTTTGGAGTCAGTGGGTCTGCTTAGTGGGTCTATTAGACTCGGTAAGGATAGTGAAATTAATTATTATTGGGCTAGAGTAAAGCTAGAAATGGAATACAGTTCCTCAAGGTTCAGTAGCTATGCCTAGTCTTTGAAAAATGATAAATAGCTCCTAATTAGATGAACAATAAATCAGGAAAATGATAAATACTTTCCAATAAGCCCTTTACTCAGTGAAAGTTTACACGAGAGGCTCAATTCTGAACACCAGAGGAATGTACAGAATTATAATCAAAAGTGATGTATGTTTTTATATCAAGAGCATCAGTGTGAATTATAGCTTAAGTTTGTTCATTCCAGTCACTGAATGAAGCAGAATTAAAAAAAAAAAAAAAAAGGAGAGAAAATAATTGTTGTCTGTTTCATTTATTCTAGCTACTTCAGGTTTCCCCCAGGGTGTATTTAGAAGAAAAAGTCTGACAATAATCTCCTGAATATTTTAAATATAACTCAATATAAAAGTTGATCCATGTGTCCCACTGTGAATCATGCAGTAATCTCAATATAAGAATTACGTTATTTGCAGCAAGAAAAAAAAATGTGGCTTTTGCATTCTAGGACAAAATCACTTCTTTTTTTCTGCCCTCCTGAAACTTTAACGGTATTTAGAAGTAGACAAATTGACTGGTAGATGACTTTTAAGGTATTTGGTATAGCCGCAGCACAATTCTTTGACTCTAAGATGACTGTGTAAGTATGAGATAAAGAAAACGCTTTTTAATAGAGAAAGGAAAATGCAGTATTCAACCTCTTTCTTTTTTTTCTTTCCTCCCCCACAGGACATTAATGTATGTATCCTTGAAAACTACCCTGAATGTTCCAATCCCAGGTTATTTTACATCATACCATATTTCTGTGGACAACATCCAAGATGCAGGTAAATATATACGACATGTCCCAATTTGTTCAGCAACAGCTGTTGCCAACATTTTGTCAGAAACTGGTAAGAAAGAGGCAACAGTTATTTGAAGTACAAGAGAAAAGTGTAAGTACAATTTACCTGCACTGTAATTTTGTAATACATGCTTTAGCACTGCTCAGATGCTCGTATCAGGCCTATATCTGAGGAATTCCAGTAAGAAATAGTAATCGTGCTTAAAACTACATAAAGACTGTAATTTTGTAATACATGCTTTAGCTCTGCTCAGATGCTCGTATCAGGGCTATATCTGAGGAATTCCAGGTTTCTAGGTCTGTGTAAGAAATAGTAATCATGCTTAAAACTACATAAAATGCAGCCTTCTACTGCTGTAATTGAGCTAGCTCATTTTAATGTGTCTATTTATGCTGTTATTCATATCGCTTTATTATTGATACTGCTTAGTAAACTTTTATGCAATAATATGTGAATAATTTTAAATACCTTCTTTTTTTCAAATACTTTTGTGTTCTTGGTCACAGCATTTTCTGTATTAGTTTTATTAAACTTCAAGGTATTCTGTTTATTTATTGTTACTCCTTCTCCATAGTGGAACAACTGCACATGTCTTCAAAAATGTCTTTCAAGAGCCATACTTTCTCGTAACAGTAATAACAAGTGAAAATGTGTTCATTCTTATGTCTCAGTTTCTAAGTGTCTTTGCTGTAAAATCCTGCTTTTTTTTTTTTTTTTGCATAAGCGACAGTATTAAGAAACAAAATAGATTCATAACTTCATGGTCCCTTCCAACCTAGATGATTCTGTGATTCATCTTCGTTACACTTTTTTTATATATACTTTGCAATTGCAATTGCAAATGCTTATGTTTGCACACTTAACTTGTCTATACGAGTAATCCCATTAATGACAGTGATATGCCTGAATACTTCCACAACATATCTCTATGAGATTCCCAAGCAATATATTGAAATACTGTTTTGTAGCTTATTACAGATCTGTCTCCTATCATGCTCTTGCACTTCCTTCAGCTACTTCCTAGTCTCACAAGGAACTACAAGGAGGAGGATCGTAGTATTTGTTAGGACACTCTGCTCTTCCAGAAAATGGACCACTGCAAAGAAGGTGGTGGGGAAAAACCTACTCCAGGTCTGCTTTAGTGGGAGCGTAAAGTAGGAAGCTTTTCCACATATCATGAGAAGAGCTTCTGGCAAACGTTGGAAGTTCACTATCGCATAGAATTTTCAATAGCCTAATGGAGTCAGGGAAGAGGTATGATTTCCAGCCCTTCTCAGGTATCCTGTGTGACTCGGATGTTCATCATACCATCTGGGCCCTGGGAAAAACCTAGTTTCCTTTAGTTTGGGACACTGGTGTTATATCCCTTATCAATATGAATGCTGACTGCTGTTCCCAGGACATAAGTTAATAAGAGTTTGTCTAAGGAACTTAGTATTCATATGCTTGTCGAACCTAATTGTGCTTCTGTGAAACTATGAGAGAAACATAAAGATGTACTGGTTTCATGCCAGCTTCTTCCAGTGGGGAAAAAAAGATAGAATAACCCTAAACTGATCTTTAAAACCATTATCAGTCAGGGCAAACAAACGCAAATCCTGCAGCAGAGCTGCAGGGCAGTCAGGGGTAGCAGCAGGGAAAGGGAAGCTCCTGGAGACTTTGACAGAAGTTCAAATGAAGAAATGAAGGACAGGGTGGGAAACAGGCCAGTAGCCTCCTGTGCGGTATTCACTGGGTAACAGCAGGCAGTGATTGCTCACAGCAGTTCTGATGTGGTTCAGGGACCCCACCACCCCTTCCTCACCCAGGGAAGTCATTCCTCCTGTGAGATGGGCTGTGATTCTGAGTTGAAGAACAGGTGTTCAGAAGTGTGAGCTTTTAAACAACTTGGTGAAAGATGTCTACAGAACTGAGTACTTCCACGCAATGATTAACCTCCTTTTAATGTGATCATGTTTTTACATGCCAAACTAAGTCTAGATGTTGTGCAGAGAAGCTCGGTAAACCACTCAGGTTTGATGGGGGGGGGGGTTATGTTCTGTTGGAAGTACAGCACTGAATATATTTGATTCAGTTGTGTTCTTGGCTTGAATTTCTGAAGTAAATGCATATTTAAACTTTTTTTAATTTTCCCTTTCCTTCTCTCCCTCCATTAATTTCGTACAGGGAGCCTGGTGAATGGGCCCTTGAAAGAGCAAAGCTGAACGTTAATGAAAATTTTCTGCTTGTGGGCATTCTGGAGGAGTTGGAGGATGTGCTGCTTTTATTAGAAAGATTCTTACCTCATTATTTCAAGGATGTGCTTAGCATCTACAAAAACCCAGGTAACTTTTCCCATTAAAAAGCTGTTCTTATAGAAACTTTGGGATAACCTGCATGGCTGCTGAAAGGTAAGTGTTTATGTCTTATTGAGTCAATGAAGAAATTTGTCTCCCTTTTAGGGAGCAGATTTGATTGATGGGAAAGGGTACATATTCTGCTTTTATTCTTACTGTGTGGTTTTAATTCCTGGTGCTTGGTGCTTCTGTGATCTTGCAGCATGCCAGAAAGCTTCCCATTTGCCACTGGAGTGGCTTTTTCTTCTTTTAGTTCTGTCATACTTGGCTCTCAAATAATATTGTCAAAATACTCTCAAAATGGTGTCAGCAATATCTACCTAAGTAAACCTTCAAGAAACAGTTTGGGGAGCTGTACTCTTTGGGGATTCTCCAGTACCAGGATATTTATTTTCCCTCAACCTTGAGTAAGACTTGCTGTGATATTAACTAATTATGATGAAGTGAACCTCCAGTTAAACTGAGGTTAGGTAAAGTACAAATAAGAACGTGCATTTATATCACTTTAAGTACAGGAAACAGACTTAGGTGGACTTGACTAGAGAAATTAAAAACAGAAAGCACTTAATCTAGCTCTTAATTTGCACCCCCCATCACTCTGAAAGGGTTCTCTCTTCTCTGTGTCAGTCCATCCCTCCCAATGCTTATTTATAGCTAACTTCTTTAGAAGACAGTCTTGCGTCCTATGCCTAAGCCAAGAAATAAGATGCTTCTGTGGGGCTGTGCATGTCATTCCGGCAGAACTGATTTCCTCCTTATATTTGACTGGGCCATCAACATTGTATGAAGCAGAGAGGGGTAAAACTTCCTTCTTGCTTGGTGACTAGGTTGCATTCGTGTCAGTGTGAAATGCCTACAGCTGCAGAAATGTGTTTGTACCAAGTTGTATACTAAAAACACATGAATCAAAGATTGAATTTTGTTTGTAATGCATGCAGCTGATGTCTGTCTTTTGACTGAGAGCAGCTATCACAGTAAGCTTTGGAGCTCTCCATAATCTCTCCAAAGCTCTCACTTTGGCGAAATTATGTGTTTCTGTCCATAACCAGGAATTATGGGTGACTGTCCACCAATCCCAGCTTCCAGGATGCATCTTTGAAAGTTTTGTATTTAGCAATAATGCAGATGTTACAGGGAAAGTGTGACATTCCTCCTCTGAACATGATTTCAGTGGGCTGTTATCTGCTTGCAATAAGGCAGTTAAGGCAGCTGTTTAGAAGGTGTGAGTGTTACTTTGTTGTGGTACTATTTCCAGACATAGAGCTATTTTGCTCCATAAGAGACATCAGGAGAGCATGGTACATTCACATGGTACATGGTACATGTTTCATTCACATGAAACAGTGCCCAGTTTTGGATCCGTTATTTCTCTTTTCTTTGTAAATTAAAAAATAAAAATACTTACATTTGTAATATGTGGAAACCTTCTTAAAGGTTTGCACAATTCAGTCTCCAAGGTTTTCCCGTAGGGATGTTAGATGAGAGGGAGGCAGAGGATCAATAGAAGGATGCTCTTTGCAATAAGCAGACTTTTCTTTTGGAATCTATAGGATTTCCTAGCTGTTCTGTGCACCACAGATTTTCACTTCTCTTACAATAGGGGAAGCTAACAAACAGCACGTTAGGGTCTCGATTTTTGACAGGGTGCCCTAGAAATTGTCAGGTGTGAAATAAGCAATCTCCCAGAATCGTTAAGTGCTGGATAATCTTTTTGTTCTCTGTGTATATTCCAATATCAGGGGAGATTTGATCCTCTGTTTCAGGACAGTGATTTCCTTTGGGATTTCATGTGTAAGACTGGTCTTGTGTCATGTCTGAACGTTCATCTCTTTCCTTCAGTATTCCCCATGCAGATTAAACTTTTGTTTTATTTTTCCCATTTACTTATTGGCAAGGAAGAATAGAAAGGAAGCAGTTTCCTTGTGTTAACTCTCTCTTCCTCTTTTCATACGTGCATATGTTTGTAGTTTTTTTCTAGTCATAATTATTTTCAGGTTATTTCTGAGTTGGTGCTAATGCTTTCAAGAAACTTAACAGAATCAGCCGGAAAGAAAAAAAAATTAAAAATCCCAGTGCCGTCTAAGAAATCCTACATCATTCTCCTCAGGGCACCTTAGACCTGATCTGCAACACCCTCTGCTGTTATATCATGAAGTGCTGGGAAGAAGAGATATTATTCTGACCAGCTGTGTGGGGATCCCACAAAGCAGCAGATACTTTGGGCCAAAACTGACCTTGTGTTGCAACTAACACTTGTGGATTAAATCTATACAATTTATAGTTTTCTCTGCTGACCTGCTGATCCACCTGAGATACTCTTATGGCAGTCTTTCCTCTTTTTGTGTAAAGAAAGTAAAGCTTTTCCAGAACTTACCATTTATCAGTTGAGTATATTGAGATGAGAAAAAGACAGTGAAGGACCATGTACAGGAAGGTGATTCACTTCCAGGTCAGTGAATCTCTGCACCAGAGTTCACTGCAGTAAGTGGTTTTGGATTAGACACAATTCAAAAATCGGATTTGTAGAGCTGCTTTGAAGCAGAAAGTAACTGAAGAAAGGCAATTTCCATCCAGTGTTGCTTTAGTGGATTACGTAGATTAGAAAGCCGAGTAGGAAATTGGTGATTGCTGTCCCACCAACATCATAATATAAACCAAATTAAAAGCACCTACCTCTTACTGCAGGAAACAAACTGCTGGATGTTATCAAACCCATAACATCACATGTGCATTTAAGACATGTCTGTGAGAGTTCTGGATTAAACCTCTTCTTCTTCTCAAACTTGGGACACTCCTCCCTCGTTACAGGAGCTTTGGGTGGGCACCAGATCACTACAGCTTCCATCCAAGCAAACTTCTTATCGGAAGCCTTCAATCTAAGTTGATGCTAACAGTAATCAGGAAACCTGAAAACTTTTCCTCATCTCCGTTTCATTTTAACCATGAAAGCCATATTCAAGCTTCTTTGTTTCTTCTGTGTCTATACTAAAATTTCTGAGACACCGTGTAACAACATTTATTAAGGAACTCTTGCTCAGTGTCCTCCTCCTAGGTAGAAGACAAAGCCTGTAGCCTTTCTACCTTCAAAAATACTTAGCTGCTATTGTTCTGAAGCAAAAGATCAGTAAAACTGTGGCTCTATTAATGACTGAGATAACTGCTTAATGCCTTATGACTTGAGTGCTTTTGTCAGTGATCCTAATGATTTGTTTTATATAAGCTGGCAGAAGGAAACTGCAGAAAGGAAAATATAAAAAAATTAAGGGAGTGAAATGCAGTTGACTTGTTCAGGCATTATCACTAACAGTTGGTTATTGAGATTTTTAATACATTTTGCTTGCCAGATGCTGTGTGTTTGTCCTGTGCTGACTTCTTCTTTTCTCTTTGATGGTGTCACATTTTGAAGTGCACACAAATTTTTCTCAAATTTTGTGAATTTAAAAAAGTTGGTAATTCTGCATGACAGGAAATTTTAGCATCAGAGGACACTAGGAGGATAATTTTCTTCATTGCCTTAATAAAAATGTTGCCTTTGCCTAATTCATATATCAAATATTTTGACTTGTGCGTTTTATAACAATGTGCAACAAAATGTGAAAGCTCCTTGTGGTGCTAAAGTTTTCATTGGAACCAATCTGTTTTTATCTTGTAGAATACTTGAGAGCTGCAGGCTTCCTGTTTTTCTCCTTTTCTGCTCTCTCCTTGAAATTAAGTATTTTCTCAATGTTGATACCAAGTCAAGAATTGCGAAAGGACTGTTTTGCCGCCTGTTTTGTCCAAAATGACAAACTCTTCCTGCCTTGACAGCCAGAACTGCCTTTGACAAGAGATCAGGGTGGAGGGGAGAGGGAGGTGGTGGATAGATTGTTGAATAGATAGATGGATCAATAGATGGGTAGAATGAATAAATAAATAAATACCGTGTTTACTAGATTTCTTTGCTAACACAGTAAAATTTGCTCAAAATTTTGTCTCACTTTTTTCCCCAGCATTGAAGCAGATAGGGTCCTGTTGCAGAGCCTTGGATTATATTTACTTCAAAATTTGGAAGTATTCCTTAACTCTTTGAAAGGCTTGACATACTCACAGCCTAACTCTACATGCAAAATCTCTCCTCACTCTCAGGAGCACAACTGAAGGAAAAATAATTGGTCAGTCCTGTTCGTTTTTGCTGGCTGTAGCTCACTTCCGTAGCCTGGCTGCTAGCCAGAAAGCAGAGAATACTTACACAGTTTCTTTTGAAATGGGCACGTGCGGGTTTTGTATCTTTGGTGTTTTTAAAAAGCAGAAAATACACACTATACACAGCAAAACACAGAATTTTCTTCTGCCTTGTCAATTTCTGTGGCATGGGGTAAAAGTTAACAGCATCTAATGTAAAAGAATAGGCAATAAAATGTTTTTTATCGCCTCAGAAATAACCCATATCCTCTCACCTTTCTGCAGTTCATAAATTTTCTTTGGCACCAGGAGCCTTATAAAAACACTTCTTCCCAATACCAGAAAAAAAATATCTTTGTTTCTTGAAAGTTACATTTTGTGTGGAGAATGTGTAGATCTTACTCTAAAGCAGGAAGACTGGCTTAAGCTTTTCAAACAGTGAATTTTATTGAGTGCAATGAAATTACTTATGCTGTCAGCTGGAAGAAAATATATTGTTCAGGTAAACTGTAAAATGTGGGTTTTTTTGAAAATGCAATACAAGTGTGATTCTCCTTAAGAATCACATTTCCATGGAATGTTGTTTACTATAGTAGTAGTATTATTCAGGCTAATATAAACTTGCTGATTTTTTAAATCCGTTTTGTTCATGAATACTGGCAATGGAGTCTTGACGCTTTCTATTTATGAGCTTCCACTTCTCTTCAAACCCAGTAAGGAGGGAGATGCTGCCATTTGTCGTTATTGCAAGGGTGAGGTCTTGTAAGGCAGATGGTGAAGCCTTCTTTGATGGAGTTAGGAAAAGGCTGGGAAGCCTTTGCACAGTG